ATCAAGAGAGGCAATAGAATGTGTGTCTATCAGAAGAGGGTCGCCAGGGCACCTTTCCTCTACTCCAGTCAAGGTTTGTGAATGCTTTCCATAATGGGCTTGGAAAATTTAAAGAGGCAAAAGACAGATATTTGCGTAATCGGAATTTTTGACTAGGAGGTCTATTCAAATATTATTCAGAATTGGAAACTTATTGAACGCAAATTAACACGCATGTAAATAAATAAGCATAACATTTCATAATGGTGAATTGATAGTTAGCCTGGAGACTTTTTTCGTTGCAATGACAACTGTGTTAGCTGAAATATTGACTTAAAAGAGTATATGAGTTTGATGCTAATTAATAGTATAGTATGTTTATGTTATTTTAAAACGTTGCTGATTAATTATACAGAAGTTATTTAGCGATGGGCATGACTGTGGACATCTCTTCTTAGCAGATGCGCAATGCTAATGAAGAGAGAAAATTTGATTATGAAATATTGTCGAAAAATATGTTTTGGTAAATTTTCCTATATTGTTTGAAGACAAATTAGATGTAAAATACTTTCAAACTGGTGACGTGTTGGACTATTTGCCATCCTTATCGAAGCTACCACAACAATTAAAGTAATTCATTAGGAGTAAGTCATCCAGTGAATGGTAAAACAGGGAGAGGAGTCGAGCGGAAACAGATAATAAGAATCAGGCCATCGAAAGTATCATCCTTAACCCAAGAATTAAATTTTTCGGATATTTGCTTTTTACCTCAGTAATATAATTGGTTCCAACTATGGATTTCAAAATTTATTTTCTAGTTTCTTGAATGTCCACGGTGTTTAGAATTCTTTGATAGGCCGATTGCATTTTGAACCTGACCACACCACATTGGCACGTATACCTCTTCAAATATCAAGAAAGTAGCCTGTCAATAGAAAATGGAATTGAATTTAACGCTCTAGACATACATATTTATTGCCTCGATGATTATTCTTCATAATTTTGTCCTTTATAATGGACTCCGACCTTGCAAAGTGCTGCATGTTCTTTAAGAAGGCGGGGGATGTAACACGAAAAAACGTCGGCATGCGCATGTCAAAGTCCTGTTGACAAGTTTTTTCTCTAATTGCCAGACGTTGGACAAAAAACCATTTACCCCTTCTCATAGGGGACCTCTAACCGGATGAATCATCTTCTTTTAAGAAGCAATATATAAATCGAAAATACCGTCGATAGGAATAGATTAAAGTAAAAATGATCTCAATTGGGCAAAATATTCAATTATTGGAAATCTCTATAGATTTTTTTATTTCTAAGTTCTCTTTTAATAATAATATAACAATAACGAGTCTTCATAAAACATTGTAATATAACTTTTGAATTTTTATATCAGCAGAGCCTAACTTAGAAAATACTCCTTATTGTTCGCATAGCCTTTGTACTGTCAACGCTAATTTGTTGGTTAAAAGGAAATTTTAAAATAGTAGTTTGCTGTTTTAAGTGTCGTAACTCAGATAGTTCCTCATTAATATTCATTGTCTTTACATATCAAACATTTATCAATATGCTCTTTTGCGTTTTACAAATTTATTGAGAAGTGAACAAAGGAAAACGAAGAGGTTTTCATCGGGCATAGCGTTTTCAATGAAATTCTTGAAATAAAGTGAAAAGATATCTTTACCAGATAAATCATGTAGGCAATTTATCCTACACCTAATTAATAAATGCTGGTTACATTTATTTTTCCTGTGTCCGATTTCTAGAATCCCTTAGCTTTCGTCGAGAACACTAATTATGAGACAGATAAAACATCTTTTAGCGAAAACACGGTAGGAGAAGCCTATAACCACTGTCGCACTTCTGTCAACATGTTTGTTTCATGCTTGTGTGCTAGGGTAACAGCATGTCAGCATGCACTGGATGCATGACTCTCCATACCATCTCATTAAATATAAATATAGACGGTATCCAAAAAAATGGTGATTTCTACTTAGTATGTGCTTGTAAATTCCACTTCGCAATATCGAGAACATCTGCATTTCGAAGATAATACTCAGAATTCAACAGGGCTTAGAGGGAAACGAATTTAAATTTGATAGACATATCATAATCACTCACTCTAAGACACTAAGGGTGTCCTGAATTTTCAGGCATATAAAATACGAAAATAATTTGCGACCTGTTACGTTTGCGCTATTGGAAAATTTACTCGGTAGGTAAAAGAAAGCTTTCATGAAAATTATAACGCGAAAATTCTTTGGGAAATGCAAGCAGGATTCAAATGTCTTCCACACCACATTCACTATTAAAGCAAACACAGGTAAAATGAAAATGAGCTAATATACAACTGTCACAGCCCTGTCAGCAGGTTGTCTCTATGTCTGCGTTCATAACTTCTGACAGGTGGGCTTTCTCTAAATCAGGTATTTTTTTGCTGCCGGTCGAGTCAGCCTGAAAATTTGTGCCAATATTTGCCTAAAAAGCAAATTCGATTTAGCGATTTCTCAGAATACTGGATTTCACTTTAGTGCAAATACCACACTATTAACGGTCCAATGAATAAGCCGGCTATTTAATTCTTCAATTTTCTGGTGAAACATCTCAGTCACAAATACTTAGATCACTTTCATAAATCGCCCATCCTAAGTAGGCATGCATCACATTCGATGAAAGGTAAATTAAAGCTAACGAGCTCAGTTCTACACAGCCTATATGTCCGAAGACTTGCTCGGTAACTTATGCCCATTTCTAAATAGCTTGATCAAGTCATTCCAAATAATCGACTCGTTTTAATACTTCAAATAAAGATAAACTCTTGTTAGTAATTTGCTGCGATAAGTGAGGGATTCAATCCACTTCCGCTCGATGTATTAATTATTTGTTTTTTTTACTCTGATATAATGAAACCAATTAATTGCGCTTAAGATCTCATTCACGCTTATGTTATATAATTAATTTATCAGACACTCTTCTCCAACGGTAATTTTGTGCACCATCAACTTATACTATTTTATCCCACTTCTGTGCACTTTATGATCATATTAAATAATATCAATAGCTAATATTGTGTAAACACATTTCACTCAGGTATGAAACGTAGAAGCTGCATTGCCTTGGACAATGTAATGTGTCAGTGAGTTTTTGAAAGCTGATTAGGTACAGACAATTCATATCTGTCTAATTATCCTTCTGATTGGAAATCTTTTGTTTCCTCCCATCACAAATGACAATTCTCATTTTGAGAATAGGAAGAGTGGGGGGAGGGGATTGAGGGGGGGAGAGTTATTTCACCCTGTCATCAACATTCTGATTCCATTACAAGTGTCAATCTGGTGATTAGTTCAATTTCTTTTCCACCCGATAACGAAAGGTCTTGAATAATTTAACTGAGCAATGAATCGTTTCTGCGAAATATTTGAACAGCTAAGTCACATCTGCCTTAAATTTTCAATCTTCATACGAAAAAGATTGAGTAAAATGATGGAGAAACTACGTGATTTTTTCTCATATACGCTCGAACTGAACTAACTGATTCATTTAAAGGTATAAAACGACTCATGTGGTTATTCTAATTCAAAAGAGTTTATGCAAAAACAAACAAAGTTAGTCCTATGTCATTGTCAAGTATAGATTAGTTTGGGTTTAAAAGGCAACACGAATGACTAAGTTATTAGAACTCATCATTTTCGTGGCCACTCAATTAAGGTTAGCATTATTCAGGTTTGATTTTTCAATCAAATTTGATTGGTGTATAATTTTATAGGTGGGGTGTTAGATAGACCTCATACCGCGGATCATTTCGATTTTTGTACTATAAAAATAACAGTGAAACGATAAAAGATAAGAGCTGCAAATGCAGGTACCATAATTCAATTCCTTCCACGTAATTCAATGGCCATAATGCTTAGTTTATGCCAAAGGTAACCTAGCACAGTGACTAATGAATACCTTTCCACATACTCTTCCTCCAGGGAAAGATGAAAGTGACCTTATATTTCATTTGAGAAATTAGATGTGATGTTGACAAATTCCCATTCCCTTCTCTCATTCCTCCGACAAATCTACTGCATCACGACGGTAAGATAACAACTATTCTCTCTTCCGACTTTGTGGGAACTGCAAGACCCACTTTTTCACCCTCCCTCCTGCGGTAAAAGCTGATTTGCCTTTTCTGCAATGTGGGTGGTCTGCCCTGACTTTGAGCAAGAAAAGTGGGGTAATTGGCCGCTTGGGAAAATTAAGCTATGTTAGAATGCCTGAGAGAGCCCCTGAATGGGGATTTCTCTCACAGTAGCGCTGTGTGATACTAATTGGGGCTCATTTAAATTTTGCCCGACAATCTTATTCAATACCTAGAAGGCTCAGTCCTTTGCAGTGACTTAAAATAAAACTACATCTTGCTAACTTGTGACTACAAAGAATCATTGGAATCCTCACAAACGGTTGGCCAGAACAATTCTAAAACAGATAAATAACGATATATGTTAAAGATATCTTTGGAATAATGAATAATTAAAAATAGCTTTAAATAAAAATGCCTGTTGATCTATTATTTCCATTCAAATATTCGAAAAATCGAAGGAGTTCAAAGCCTTTATTTTATTTAATCAAGTAAGCATCCTTAGAATGACCACTTACCATTAAGTTGAGGACTTTATAGGGGATCAAATGAATATTAGGTAAATGTGGTTTGGAAAGTAAGATATATATTTCTTCTCAATGGCTTCAAATGTCTTTTTTGATCAAATACATACTATCTCATCATATTCAAAACGGATCTATTAAAGAAAATTAAATTAATTGATTAATATGTCGAAGATCATATTCTCTTAGAATGAGAGTGTCCCTTTTCCATACACATTTGTTTAAATAGAATCCTATTATAATTTGAATTGTAGCAATGAGCTACAGGAGTAGAAACCCTTGAGCTCTAAGCAACGTTAGAAGATTAGATCAGATTACTTATTAGTCTACAGAAACTCAAGGTTTTAACATTTTTACTAGTGATCAGCAATTGGTATTTAGAATAATAATACCAGCGAATTGTTAAAAGTTTTGAACAGCGCTACGTTTTGTAGCCCAAACAAAAAGACATATTTTGGATATATAATCTTCCAGAAGGAAAAAGAGGTGCAAGGGTGTAAAACAATGACGGTGGTCTTAGGGTGGATATTGGAGAAGTAAAAGAACAAAAGGAGAAGAAAGAAGAGGGTGACAAGAAAGTGCTTCAACACACTGTCAAATCGCGGCAAAGTTGGAATCGTCCTGTTTGCTGCGGTCTAAAATCAACACTGTGGGTGGTCGGAACGAAATGAAGTGGCACTTTGATTTAACTTTGTCACTTTTAGCCATTTTAGATGGTCCGATTGGAAAATTTTGCGATATTATTTGCTAAGAAGTAAAAGAGGATAAAATGTTGGCTTTCATTAACCCAAAGTTGTACTTCCACTTTATGATCTAACTACTGGTAAAACAATTATTCGGTTACTTGGAAAATTATTTACTAAATGAAATTGTCTATTATTGAACTATGGCACACTTATATACTATACCTTCTTTAAGACCAGTTAACTTGATATCGAAATTCAAATATCTTTTAGGGCATTTTTAATCCCTAAAATTGGATAATTACGCTACCTTTTAAGAGGACTCTTTGAAGTGCATATAAGGCTAACTTTTGGCTTGAATTGTGAAAGAAAAACCTGAAAACAATTTAAAGTTTCGCCTTTTCAATTATCAATAAATTTGGCTTGATAGCCAATCTAGAAGAATTGGAACATAAAAGAGGAAATTTTGTTTGAAGCTTAATTAAAAAATATCATATCGGCATTAAAGTTGGAATGAATCTGTTTGATGATGAAAGTTTTTTGCTTTAGTAGTCAGTAATTTGCAAAAAATCTAATTAATTAATTATTAAGTTGGAGCCGTTAGATAGATTATTGGTACTTTTGCGCAGGGATATCAAAATGTCTCCGATAGCGTATTATGAAAGATAATAATTGGAGATAATTTAAGCTAAAATGAAGTATTACTTGTTCTATATTGCCGTCGGTGAGGAAAAGGTATGGCCACTGACCTTTTTTTGCTAGGAAGGTGTAGAGATGCGTAAAAACGCTGCTGGTGGTCACATTAGCACGAGATGAGGTGACGGTAAGAATGGGAAGAGAGAAGGGGCTTTAAACCTACCGCAGTCTGACATAAAGTAGTAATTAACTTGTTCGTTGATGGTGTCCATGTTCACTACATTGTGTGGTCTAACCAAAAGGCACTGATTGGTTGGTACATGTGTTTTGACATTAACTGCTAGTCATATTTACAGTAACCGATTACTAAAATTTATGCAAAGATAATTTTACTATAAGAATCTCCATATGGGCACAACTTTTCTCCCCTTTCGATTTATTTTTACGATTCACTTTAAATAAATTTACACTTTATAGTTTCTTTGTAGTGTGAATATCAAGAATGAATATTTGCTATCGTAGTAAACAGGAATTAAAAGTAAATTACTTAATCTTTACGCTAGATATCAATAGATAGTCTAATGATGTACATCACGCGAGGTTAATTGTAACGTAACACAATATTCCAAAATTCAATCTTCAATACCCGACTCAGAGGCCTGTTGACTCTTCAATCACCAACTTTATTGGAGTTCCCCTTATTTATATTGGGATCGATCATTTCAACTAATAGTCATTCAAATGCACTGTCTTCGTCCAAATGGATTATCAAGGAACGAGGCTGTGGCAAGGACTGCTGTAAAAAGGAAAAAGAGAGCATTGGAACAAGGGGACTATACTGATAGCAAGTACTCGGTCGTAGAGTACCATCACACAAAACCCGTTGCATAGCATTTGGTTTGAAACCAACCTTCAGAGACACATTATTCATAATATTTATATCGTATTGACGGATTAAATGAGCTTGATAGTCTCTTCATTAAAACTATTTCTTAGAGAATAAAATTGGAAACTGTCAAGACTCATTTTTTTGTAGATGTTGAATTATAATGTGTAATCAAAAGCCTCTCTGTTTTCGGATCCGAAAGAGAAACATTTTAAACAGGCTTTCATTATTGTCAGCTTTGAAGCATTATCTTTTATTTAGCAAATTCAAATAATATTTAAAATACCTATAAACTAAAACTTTTATGACCTATGTTTGAAATATCTATTTCTAGAAGCATATTCAAGCAAATTTGAGGAAATTTAATTCATTTTGTCAAAGATGCTAAATAGTTAATATAAATAAATTTTCCAAGATTAAAATTTTTAGAATGCATATTAAACAACTAGTAAATTAAAGGAACATAAGATAATACGAAAATTTATTTTCTTTATGATCTGTTTAATCAGACTAGTATTGTCGTGCTAATACACATTTGTTATTGCAAATTATTCATTTAGTAATCCCAAATCAAAGTGCGAAAGATGGTATTTTTAATAGTTACAGCGAGTTTCAAAGGTTTTAAAATTGCTCTATTTCAATGAGTTGTCCCACCTCACATATAAACATTGATGATGTTGGACAAGTCTCTGTTTTCTCAGCCAGTAGACCTCTTAATTTCCCAACTTTGTGAAAGCCGCTGAGAACAAAAGTCTATGGAACTTCGTTCGACAAGCGACAGTGGTTCAAATTGCTTCTTATAATGTCTCCAATTTTACCAATGAACTGGAAAAGATACAAGTCAGAGAAAGTTGTGCAGTTTTCGACAACCTTTCATTGATTAGGTTCAGATTAATATGCTTCTTCGAGTGATGGAAACGCGGAGGATGGGCTTCAAAACTGACAAACCCATACTAAGCAGAAAAATTCACGCAGCTTTCTTGAAAGTGCAATGCATGTTGACATATTAAACCTCACGACAAGTTTATTACCCCGTTAGTTATTTGTAAACATATTCTCAATCTGTGCAAATATACAATGACATTCATTATTAAACGTCGCGAATGCTTTTACACGTACCATATTGTATTTCACAATGGAGCAAAACAAAGTACAACATTCCAAACTCCAAAGTCCTTGACCAAATCGTTGTTAGTTTAGTAATTGCGCTCTGGCTCACTAATCCGCTCTTAGGCATAAGAACGCGAAAGATAAATCGGGGTGCTTTACTAAGACAACAATTTGCGCATGATTTCGTCAGTGCCATTGACAATAATGAAAAAGAACGCATTTGCAATTATTCACTGCGTCAGTGCTACTTCATTTCGCACTGTTTTTATGCGAAGAAACTTTGATCCTGTACTTAAACTGCATGACACTGATTTCTATGGTGCAATTGATCGTCAAAATGCTTAAATAAAATCACTCAAGAATATTTATTTATTTATCTCAAGTGGCAGGCGTTTTGATTGCTATCATTAGCCCTTTAGCTGACTTCGGGCTTCACAGAGGGGAGGAATATCAAAGTAAGTAAAATTCGAGAGGGTTGAACAAAAGAGTGATTCACAGATGTGAAAGAAACAGACAAACACAAAGGCAGAGAAAAGGTAAGGTTAGTTCTGTGGAAGTGGTCGAATATGACACACAGTGGGGTTATTGTAGTTTGAAGTCAGAAATCAACTACCGATTGATAGACATCTTTTGCCGTATGAGTATAGGGTACACCAGGGTACACCAAGTGGTGGTAAGTCTATGCACACTCCTTACTCGAGAATATCAATTTTAGAATATATATCAAATATATTAATTATATTACCATACACAATGGGAAATATATCTGTTCATAAATATTTTCAGTATGTTTCACGAAGCTATTCAAGGGGAAGAAATCGAAACCATCTCTAATATTAAATGAAAATCAACTATTTAACTTGTAAGTAATCTTACGACCTTACCAGCTTAATTTCGAAGAATTGTGTGACAAAAAGACAAATTTATGTAGTGTTAGAGTCATGTTCTGGCTGTTTAAGTGTAGTGCATTTATTCAATTTAACCCCAATGAATGCTGCGAATGTGAAATCGGGCTTCAGCACTAATGAGCCGATCCTATGGAACATGATTTACATTGGCAACTAACTGTCTATATGACAATTACATTCCCACTTGAATTCATTGACCTTCAAGTCATCCACAAGCGTACTTCCCCCCCCCCCCATATACTCAAGTAAGTTTCATAATTTACTTCAAGTACAGATATAATTGCAGATAGATTCATAAAATAGATCTTTAATATGATATCAGTCCTTTCATGATTTAAGATTTGGCCAACCAAATGATTTCACATTTAAAACAAGTATTTTGTTTTCAACTTTCTTGATAATTATAGCTTAGGAATAAGATTAAATTTTTTATAAATTTTAATTTGAACTATATTGGTTCAATTCCAATATATTTTACCAATCTTGTGACAAATCATTGAGTTTTATCGCCATAAATTAATTTTAAACTTTAAAAAATTTCAATCATTCATGTATGAGGATTATTTCAGTATAAAATGTGAAATGCAACTGATAAACATGCCAATGTGAAACCCGTTCGCGACTCCAATGCCAATTTCAATATTTTTACGTCATAATTTAGCCGGATAAGCGTAAGATTATTTCCCTTTTAATTCATATCAGTTTAGTCCCATGTTTCGCATTCGGGAAAAGATGAAAAACGATCTTCCTTGCAGCACATGTTTTACATAAATTTAGAATATCCCTGAAAATAATGAAATAAAGAATATAACTAAAAATTATTGGGGGAGATGCATGTGAGTTCAACGTGAGTGTAATAGAGGTGCGAGGCATGGGCACCAATCAAATTATTCCACTGATCCAATAAACTCAGAACTTGTCTATTTTGACATTTTACACAAGGTGTTAACAATTCTCAATTGTACTATTTTTGTGCTTTCTATGAAGGACAACCCTTTTCGCAGCTCTGCTAAATTGACGTTTATAGCAAGCATATCTCTTCAGCATTAAAATTGTAAGTTGGTGCATATCACTCAAGATTCTTTTCCTTTTCAATATTCGTAGGAAAGTTTGTAATAATGTAGCTAGGCTGATCCTTCTCAATTCATTAACTAAAGCGATAGACATTGGTAAGGTATTGATTACAGATTGAGAGCCAAATTATAAGGTTGGTACTTTCAGAAAATGGGCTATTCATCAATTAAATATTTTGCTACCGAAGCCTGCAAATAGAATAAAACCTTGGTATCAATATCTGAAGGTCTTTGATCATCGCCCTTATCTTCTTTGAACGATCTTAGTTGGTTCTCAAAATTAAAATTTGTAAGATCTGTCCGTTGTAATATGTTTTTTAAAAAATAATAAATGTCAAA